TGACGTGCAAACATCGACCTCTTTCAATGATGTTACCTCATCGATATCAGCCTTACTTACAGCTCTATTAGAACGCATAAATGGTGTCATAGCAGGGTGTGCACAATGCATGATTATGTTTCTGATAAGACTTACTTATAACTCAGTGATCGTTTGTATTTGTTGATATAACTACGACTCTAGCCTTGCATCCTGTTCTTGTGACTGGCGTATGAGCACGTTGACGATCAACAATATTGCCTTTTAATACTCGAAACCCTTCTTTGAACAACAATATTCTTGTTTCTTAGATTCTCTTCCACGTCAAGCTGTGTTGTTCCCTTACGTGCACTAAACCCATGTTCCCTTGCGAATCCCTTGTAAAAGTACCAATCTTGATCACGTGAAGAGAAGAGCTGACCAACCAATCTATAAGATTCATCAACATTATGTACTTCATGGCATTCCTCGGTTGGCTTAACATTGTCTGCATCAGTATGATCCATGGCAAAAATTTTATTATGCAAGTTCAGTGGTCCGGAGTTGATGGAGATGTAAGTAAAGGTTCATTCAACATGTTTCAGTCGTGCTTTCAATAGGATGTGGTAGTGGTAGTGGTAGTTGAAGGGTGGGTACAACATTAAATTCGCGTGACATATTTAGGTGTGTACAATAACTACCTAAATATGTGTCGATACATTTTCTAAAAGTATCGACCCAAAAAAATCGAAACCAATAATTATAATGTAATAGGTAAATTAACAATGAAACCGGTATAAATATATCGGTTAATTAGAAAACATGTCAACATAATGTATCGACACTTGTGTAATTTTGTCGATACTTATTATCCAAAATGATTGCCCAAACGAGGTGCACGCATAAAATGTCGATACAATTATTAAAAGTATCGATCCCAATAAAATCGAAACCGATAATTATAATGTAATATGTAAATTTACAATGTAACTGGTATAAATATACCGGTTTTATGATAAATAGGTCATCATAAAGTATCGACACATATTAAATTTGTGTCGATACATTTTGTCCATAATGAATGCCAAACGGGTGCACGTATAAAGTGTCGATTCATTTATTAAAAGTATCGATCCCAAAAATATTGAAACCGATAATTACAATGTGATAGGTAAATTTACAATGTACCCGATAGAAATATACCGATTTTATAAAAAAATAGGTCTAAATAATGCATCGACATTCTTTAAGTTTGTGTCGATACTTGTTTCCAGAATGAATGTCCAACTAGGTGCACGCATAAACTGTCGATACATTTAAAATTGTATCGATCCAAAAAACATCGAAACCGATAATTATAATGTAATAGGTAAATTTGCAATGTTACCGGTATAAATATACCGGTTTACTTATAAAAATAGGTCAATATTAACGCTACCTATTACATTATATAAGCGCTACCTAATATATTATTGTACTTGATAATATTTCCGGTTAAATACCTATTTTATTATATAAGCGCTACCTATTACATTATATAAGTGCTACCTAATATGTTATTGTACTTAATAATATTTCCGGTTATATGATATAACATAACCGGTCTAAATTTTAACCGGTCACTTGTTTAACCAGTCACGTCGTTTTTAGCCGTTTTTTAGGCGCCGCGCGCAGCAGAAGTTCCCGTAGGGGATCGAAAAAACACAGCCATCACGATACACTACAATGGGAGGGTGCACTTGTACATTTACTGCTGATTCGGCAACTAATTAGGTGGTGACATGTGTCACTTGCTCCTAATATAAATTGAACTTAGGTCTTTTATGTGAGAAACTAATCACTCAACCATCAAGTCAAATTAGACATTTGAGTAAATTTCTCCCCGTTTTGAATTTTTAACTTATATAATGGTATCACCACAAAATCAATATTTTTTTATGATTATACGATTTATATATGAGGCACTTTAAATTAATCATTGAAAGCTTAGTCACTAAATTATATTGTGATTTTTTTATTATAATGCACTTAATACTTACTTATATCATTATTAAATAAATAAATAATACTTACTTATATCATTATCAAATAAATAATTAATATTGTTTTAAATAAATAAAAATATGATTTTAAAAATTAAATAAATATTTAAAATATTTTTATGATAGTATAAATATATTTTTAGAATAATTTAATATAAATTTTATAAATATATATAAATAATTATTTAATTATTTTTTATTTCCAAATACAATGAAAAATTATTCTTTAATTTGATAATGATACAAGTAAATATTAAGTTTGATATAATAAAAATAGATTCACATTATAGTTAAATGACTAAGCTTTCGATCATTAACTTAAAGAGTCACATGTTCAAATTTTATAATCAGCAGAAAATATTGATTTTGTGGTGATACTATTAAATAAGTTAAATGTAAAATATGGTAAAAATTAGCTTAGATGACTAGCTTAATTCAATGGTTGAAAGCCTTGCATTTCATGAAATAGGCCTATGTTCAATTTATGCTAAGATCAAGAATACTTTCTTTTATTTTATCCCCATAGTTGGTGATTGAATAAAATTAATTAAAAATACTTATGGACAAATAAAAAAGTGACGTGGAAATTAAAAAAGTAAAAAAAAAAGAAACTTGACATGTCATGCGACATCAATATTGTCATTAATATTTTGAAAAAAAATAAAGTTTAGGTATTAAAACAAAATAAAAATGATAGTGTAAATACTAAACATGTAATTTATCCTTTTAATATTTATTTAATAAAGACAATTTAATGAATAGCGTGTTTGGATGTGTCGTTTTAATTTTACGTTGCAATATGTAATATGCATTGGAGACTCATTCATGATATTCCAATATCACATGCTAGTGAGAGAAAAAGAAGCATATGCACGAATATAGGTATTTTTCAGTTGAAATCTGATATTTTCATATGGAAAGTTGATTTCGACCAAGATAATAAGGTAGGCGATATGGAGCAGAAGCTGATATTTTCATGACTAGGCTAAAAAATCAGGATGGATCCCTTTAGGATGACGCACTTGTTTGTAAAGAATGCAATATTCCGAGAGCGAGCACACCCTGTAGTTTAGAAGAAACGGGCACATGAACGCTATGAAAAGTACAGGCAAATTTAGAAGCTAAGACTAAACTATGAAAAGAAATGAATGTCATTGTCATTGCCCATTATTTGGTTAGTTATCTCCAACTAAAACAATTACGTATAGAATCTTGGGTTTAGCTTTTCTATTTCTACAAATCGGCTTCAAATATTTCTACCGTCTTTTTTCCTTCCACTAGCCATTCACACACACACATATATAGGGATGTGTATGGGTTGTGTTTGGGTTGGGTTTGGGCCAACCCGATCAAATCCAAAAATTTTATATCCTTCACCCGATCTGATCCGACACGAAAAATATATACCTTCCTCTCGATCCGAACTAACCCGATTTTTTGAGATAAAATTCGAATCCGATCCGACCTGAAATAATAAAAAATATTTTTTATTTAATAAAAACAATGATTTAATTGAAAAAAATAATATATAGAGGGTTATATTGTAATTATTCCTAAATATATAAAGTAATTTTTTCTAGGTCAGGTCGGGTTGGGTATTTTTCACCCTAAATCCAAATTCTACCCGATCAGACCAACCCGAATTTGAATTTAAAAAAAAACCCTACCCGATCAGATTGGGTCGAGTTGAAACTAGTCGGGTTCGGGTCTCATGCCCATCCATATATATATATATAGTCTCTTTTTTTCTTGCTGGTCAATTTTATATTGAGTTTGCTAAATTATATAATTACTAGATAAGGTGGCATTTATTAGAATTGTTAAATTTTGGATATAAATAATGTATTAAAACGATTTTTAATTTACCCTTAACTCTTTTTGACGGTATCCAACAGTATGACGATCTGAGTTGATAATAGATTATGGTTTTTGTTTGGCGGTAATTCTACACAAAATATAATTTAGAGTTAATCGCATCAGTTTATCCCCAAACTATGACCCACATTTCAAATTATTCCTTAAACTTTTAACTATTTTAATTTCACCCTCAAATTACGACTCTCATTCTAAATTGGTCCTTAACCTTTTGAACATTCCTATTTCATCCCCAAACTATGAATCTCATTCTAAATAGGTCCCTAAACTTTTAGATATTCCAATTTCATCCCTAAATCCATCCAAATATGTAATCCATTTCAACAATAGTTTAACCTAAATTTTTCTTTTTTCAAACATATAATAATATAATTTGGCCTGATAATGTTATTAACAAGATATGTGATTAGTATATACATATACTTTATGATAAAATTTAAATATTAAAAAAGTTTGGGGACCAATTTGGAATGAAGATCACAGTTGGGGGATGAAAATTAAATGTTCAAAAGTTTGAAGACTAATTTAGAATAACAGTCATAGTTGAAATTGAAATTTTAAAATTTTAGGGACTAATTTAAAATGAATGTTATAGATTGAGGACGAATAACAAAATTAACCCTATAATTTATAGTAACTATTGAGATGACACCTTTCACGCGCTTATTCACACGTGCATTCATCTCCCAGTTATTACTGGCAATGCCAAAGTTGCAATATTGGCGGTGCTTTTTCTTTCGCCTATCACAATAGGTTTTATCAATCACGCGCACTAATAGAGAGTAGAAGTTAAATGAAGTGAAAAACATAAAAGATTAAATTTGTTAACAGCGAACCTCTGAATTGAGTAGAAAATCTTTGTGGTTTTTAAGCCAGCCAAAGAAGTGCAAAAAGAGACAAGTGTTCAAATTAATAAATATAATCGGAGTATAAATAATAAGATTATGTGGGAAGAATAATTAAATAACAGATAAATCAATTAGTAATTTGATTAAAACGAGAGTACGAGGACTGGCATCTCATTCGATCTGAAAACTCAAAAGAAAAACCAAATTAAAGTTATAGGCAACTCATTGCAATAATGTGTTAGGTTCTAGCTTACCTCACATTTAAGAGAGAAAAAAGGAGAGCTCAAGTACATTCCCGGTATTAATTTCAGAACAAACAACGGACCCTTCAAGGTTAGCCAGTTTCCGTCCATCAATAAATTTTCATTGTATTCATTTAATAGTGTGATTGAGTATCAGAAAAATTCAAGTTTCCACCGTTATACTCACTCACTGAATTCCTATGATGAAGGCTCAAATGCAAAGATTTACAGAGAAGAATGTTGGTATAATGAAAGCTGAGAGGTTGTTTGAGTCTCAAGGAGGTCCTATTATTCTATCTCAGGTAGAAAATTCGGTACATTTATAGCTGTGGTTAATTTCTTGATTCGGCACTTTGCTTTTAGTATTCGTAGTTTAAGATATGGATATTCATTGGGGTATGATGATGAACTAAGAGACGGTGCCTTTTATAATCTCTGCTTTTGACAGATTGAAAATGAATATGGGTCCATGGAATACGAACTTGGTGCACCAGGTAAAGCTTACAGTGACTGAGCGGCTAAAATAGCAGTGGGACTAGGCACCGGTGTCCCATGGGTCATGTGCAAGCAAGATGATGCACCCGATCCTATTGTAAGCATATCATTCCTTTTTATCTTAGAACTTTTTTTTTTCTTTCATATGGTCCCAATCTGATGTATAGTGGCAGTCATATTATATTTAATCTTCTTTTTTGGGGTTACTAGAAGATAATCTGTTGTCTACTTGTTGCTCATGGTTGAAATGAACTATCATTTCTCATTGCACATGGCTCAGCTTTGATATTTTCTACTCCTATCTGTTAACGGTGTCACTATTTTGCTCCTTTTGAACTTCCGGATTTTGTAATCATATATAAGTGACCATGTTCCTTTCATCAATTATTACTGCATCCATTTGATCTTACATGGTGACTGTTGTTGTGGATGGATACCATTTCTTTTTCAATGCTCGGAGATGTCGAAGCAGTAGATTATTTCTAAGTCAATTCTCAATTGAATGGAGCCACGAGGGATACATGTTTGATTTAAATTTTTGGCTCATTGAATACTCTAGTCTTTTCATGTATTGCTGTTCAAGGTGAGGTGTTGTTTTTGAGTTAACTTCTATTGCTTCCAACAGATTAAGGCCTGCAATGGTTTCTACTGTGACTACTTTTCTCTGAACAAGCCCTACAAACCAAAGATGTGGACTGAAGCCTGGACAGGCTGGTAAGTTTCTTTCTTTTTTTCTGCGAGGATTACCTTTTGCGACTTGTCTTTGCTTGAAACGGCTACAGTTCACAAAAATATAGAGGTGTCTCTTGGTTGATGATTTAATTTTTTTTATTTATTTTGCAGTGTAGGTATACTGAGTTTGGAGTGCGCAGTTCCTTACCGACCTGCTGAAGACATGGCATTAGCAGTTGCAAGGTTTATACAGAAAGGAGGGGCCTTCATAAATTATTATATGGTAATCAGCCTTTTTTTCCTTCAATTTACCAAGTTCAATATGGGGAAGTGTAAGTTCATATATGCTTGTTACTTGTGTTAACAGTACCACGGAGGAACAAATTTTGGCCGAACTGCTGGGGGTCCTTTCATTGCTACTAGCTACGATTATGATGATCCTCTTGATGAATATGGTATGCAGAAAGCATCATTGGTGCATTTTTTAAGTTTACCCTGCGTCATCTAGTTTCTGTTATTTTGAACCATACCTTCTATGTTTTTTGCATTCGCTTTGAGGAGAACCATTTACTCTCATGCAGGACTAAAGAGGCAACCAAAATGGGGCCATTTGAAAGATTTGCATAGAGCTATAAATCTCTGTAGTAAATGGAGAACCCACTGTGATTCGACTTGGAAACTATGAGGAGGTTAATATGGCACATTTCTAAGAATCTCAACCATGATACCTAAATTGGCTTGTATTGAGAACTTACACAAATTCCATTTGAACCATACAGGCTCATGTATTTAATTACAAAGGTTGTGCCTCCTTCCTCGCAAATTACAACCCAAGATCTTTGTAGACATAGGTTTTCATCCCGGTATTATTATTATTTATTATTATTAAATAATAATTACAATTACAAGGCAGGCCCAATAGCAGAAGCTCGATACATGACCCAGCAACCAAAAATCGGGTCCAATTACAAAGCAAACCCAAACCCAGTTACAAAGATCCGACCCGAAGTCCAAGATTCGACCCAATCAGTAGGCCCAAACCCGGCTAGGGTTTTCACCCTTAGCCCTAGCCGCCTCCATCCTCAACCATTGGATCTGATCTAGATCCAACGGTCCAGATTAGACCATAATTAGGGTTTTACCCTAAGGAGTTATCAGCTGCCTCCGCCGATAGAATCAGAACCATCCACCTGTCGCGCGTGTGTTGCACACGCCCTACTCCTCATATTCCAGCCGCTGTCGTTGTCAGACCACACCGTCCAAATCCAAAAGATCTGAGTGCATTAAATGCACCCAGCTAGAAATCGGTGTTGCCCCTAAGTGAGTCACATTCATAGCCTCGGTGAATCAGAGGGTTTCTCCTCTCCGACCGGTCCAAGGAATGAGCCACGGATCCTATAAAAGGAACCCACACCTGCACGACAAAAAAGACAGAGAGAACAAATAAACCATTCGAACAACAAAAAGAGAGCCAGCAACCAAGAACCAACAACTAGTCGAATAGAAAAAATAATTGAAAAACAGAAGAGGAAGAATAAACTTATCTCACCGTCGTTGGAGTGCTGGATTTTTGAAGGTAAAATCTTTTATCTACGGTGTTCGGAGGGTTTTTAGGCTTAGGGCTGGTCGGATTCGGGTTTAGTGAAGGTCAGAGGTCATTTTGGGTTCGTTTTTCGAACTCCAACCGCCGTGGACAACGATAGAGATCTCCGACGAGCGGTGGCTGACGATTGTCAGCCTCTCTCAGATGAGAGAAGGAAGAGAGAAGTCAGAGAGAAACAACGTTCTCTCTCTTTTAGAGAGAGAGTAAAAAATGAAAAATGAGGATATTATGCCATTAAAAGTTGATTTTGGGGTATTTATACTCTCCCCCATACGACGTCGTTTAGGGGAAGGGATTATGTGTTTTGGGAGCATGGGAAAATCATTCCCACAGCTCTTGTGCTTTGTAACTTTTCATTTTGGTCACCGAAATTAATTTCCACATATTTTAATTTGAATCTCAAGTTTTATTTCGTTTTATTTTAGTCACTACTTTTATTTATACGCGTTTTGGGTAAATATTTGATTTAGTCCCTATTATTTTATTTTTTTTCTATTTTAATCCTTAATAGTGATTATGGTTAAAATACACTGCCAATACCTATTTTGTATGTTAGTCTCATTTATTGCTATAATTTTTGCTTTATTTACAGTTTAATCCTCAAATTTAATATTTTTAATTCTAAAGAATACTATTGGTTTATTTACGTTTGAAGTGCCTAACATATGAAATATTTGTAATAATTGCCTTAATCTTTAGTTAGTTTTATAATTTAATCCCTAAATTTATCATATTTATTATTTTAATCTTTCATTTACCTATTTATAAATTTCTTGCTAATCAAAATACTTTCATATATTATTTTGTACGAGGAATTTAAAGAAATGCCCCTTAACTGACAAGGAGTGTGTTTCTAAGGATTTGCTCGAATAAAATAATGGCATAATGCAACAAAATAACCCTAACATTTGACAGTAGTGTCAACTTTACCCGTATTGTTTTTTTGGAACATTTGTGCACAGAACGTTTATTTTTGGGTCAAAAATAACCCACACTGGATGAAAACCATCAGTCAACTGACGGTCAACGCGGGGTGCTGACTAAGCGCACATGCGTGGAGGGGAAAGTTAACGTGGAGGGGAAAGTTGACGTGGAAGTCTATGTCATCGAGATCGCTGATATGGCACTGCCACGTTATTTTTTAAAAATTAATATTTATATTTTTATATTATTAATTTGAACCAATTAAAGAGTGACACGTGTCGCTCTCTGATTGGTGCACAATAAAAATCAATAAAATGCATCGAACCTGGAATAAAATGATTAAATGTGTCGTCCAATCCAAACATGGTGTAGACACGAATTTTCGCCCAAAGCCTAGATATAAGGGAAGTTCTGATCTTCAGGCAACCAACCGACCATTTTCTCGGCCAAACCAACAGTCTCACCGAATTTCCCGGTGATTTCTCAGCACCCATATCATCAACAACCAACAAACGAGGAACTTTAGTCCCATTAGGACTCTAAACCGAACCTAAAATAAGGATATAAAACACTATAAATAAATGAAGAAACACACACGCCGAGGGAACTCACTTTCGATTCTGAAAAAAGGCTAGTTCATGCAATAGATGGAAAGACATTGTGATTCTGTCAATGGAGGCGATCTTCATAATTACAATCCAGTAGAAATGAGGGGGCTCCATTTTTTCAACGATTGTGGAGACCGAGTTGCACGGTGGCTACATGTTGATTCGATTGCACCAGGGACCAGCTACAAGGATAGAGAACACAATGGGTGACGATTCCACACAACCCCCACTCACCGTCACTATTGTTTTCGTTCGTCTCCAAGAGTAAGCAAGATTTCTGGTTATCGGTTTAATGTTCCGTCGTAGGACCATCGTCGCTGCCAGCGTTGGGGGTTGTTTATGTTGAAACCGCGAGTTTTGCTCGCTCAAATGTTGCTACAGCCATGTGTAATCGACCATTTGTGAAATCTCATTGATCTCTGAAACGATGGACCCATTCTCGTTGCTCGGTCGTCCTCGTGTTGCTACGCTCAATAGGAAAGGTTTCAAATCAAGGGCGAAACGAATATAGAAAGGGTGAAGAGGTTGAAGAAGGAGATGGAGGCAAGTATCTCAACTCCAATTGCATCACCATTAATATTTTAATTTTTTATTTTTTATCTCTATTTATCCATTTTATTTGTTTTATTATTATTATATTAATTATTCTTTTCTATTATTATTTTTTTATTTTACAATCTGATTATATTCTTGGCTCTTTTTAGGGGAATTTTTTTCGATCAAGGGTAAGTAATTCGAATCAGGTTTTTAAATTTAAATTTTTTATTTTTCGCAATTAAGACAATCGACAAATTAATTGGTACCGAAAGGGAAGTTCAAGGGTGCTAATCCTTTCTTGACTGTAACTGACTCCCTAACCCAACACATTTTTGGTAAAACGTAGATCGGGTAAGATGGTGTCCGATCCACCTAAATATTTTTTAAAGGGATCGGTGGCGACTCTGACCTAATTATTTAAGTCGAAGCCCAATCAACCGAAAGACGGCCGCGACAGCTTGGCGACTCTGCTAAGGACAGGTAAGTGAGTCAGGCCAGAATAATTTTTCGGTTGTCTTTTTAAAGAGAAAATAATAAATTTTAATTTATTTATTCGATTCTATTTATTTATCTTTGATTATTTTTCAAGTAAATAGTTGTACTAACGTTTTTTCAATGATTTTAGATTTTCAAAATTTTCATCTCAAGCTCTATACTCGAACTCCGAACCCTTTTAAGTGGGGGCGAAAGCGACGCCTTCGTGAGAATTTATTCTTCGCATAGGCCTAACAAGTAACATTCGGGATTCATATAACTTATGTCTTCGTGTGAATTTATTCACCGTGCGGGCATAAGGGAATGTGTCCTCTCGAGTTTAACTTAGTCCATATGAGCTTGTAATGGGCTTAGGACTAAGGGTCTGGCAAGCCGAAGGGGGTACTAGCAAGGAGAACTCAAGTACATTTTTTAAAACATAAACCGGAAGACTACAGGGAATTAGAGCCACCCCAAAATCTCATTTCAAACCCTAGGTTTCTTTGATATTATTTCTACTTTATTTTATGTTCAAAGCATGTGAACTAGAAATTTATGCGGTTAGGACTTGTTCAATCAACTTGTGGGATAAAGATCATGTTCGGGTAGGAATAATAAGCATATAGGGTAGATATCATGTGTGGTGGGACTTTTTATTTTCATAATTGTTTTGATTCTTATCCTTACCTCACTAACTCTTTTCATTTTTGTTCTCTTTTATTTTATTTTCATCATTTGCATCATTCAAAAGAGGTATTGATCCACCAAAAATGTGTTTGTTAAACGTAAATAATTTTTATTAATGGACAAAGGGGTTATAATAAAAGAGATGAAAAGCTCAGAAGTCCGGATATGGTCAGAAAATACTCAGAATGGACCAGGTTTACACCAAACACGTCAAAAGTTAACTTTTCCAGAACAGGTTGGCAGAAGTTGCAGGGGCAAGACGAGAAAAAAGTTACTAACCTGGAGAGTCCCTTCAAAGGCAACAAGAACAAGATGGCAAAACGATAGTTGAAATTAGAGGCCATTGTTGACGGATTCAAGAAGCAAGCAAGTTAGCTTAAGATAATTCCCTCCGATGGAGGTTTCCAATGGCGTTTTTGTTGGGAACAAGCATAGTAAAAGGTGAAAACAGAGATGCAACCATTCAATATTTCTTGGGACAAGTACAAAAAGCATCTTAGAGAGGCCGGAACGGTTCGACAGGGTATTCAACCGGTGATAGAAAAAGGCGAAAGATGAATCAACCTGTCAGAAGCTGTTCGGGTCTAAATGAATATACTTTTAAAATATTTTTTGTCTCTTAAGAAATAACACTTTTGTCCCCAATAAGGATTATTTATAATAACAGACACATTTTTGGATCAATGCCTCAAACATATCATGCATTCTGCATATTTCGCATTATTTTTCTCTTTCTCATTACCTTCACATGTCTAATAAAAAATGGGAACATTTTGATCCTATTCTCATGACTTACAAGGAACTTTACAAACAACTTGTGACACTCAC